GTGCCCCCAAATTTTTCAAAGGGAAATTTAAAAAAAAAACCCCCCCCCCCCCCCCAAATCAGGAAAACCAATTTCCCTTCATCTTTAATTAATTAGCTCACGAAAAGCATCGCATTTCCATGACGACCCGGGATTCCAGAGCCCAGCCCAGTACCACAGCAATAGCTGGAAATTAAACCAATAAATAATAGATGCTCACCGTTAATGAACTAACGTAAAACGGAGATTTTAATTTTATTTTTTTTTAAAAAAATTCACAACTTTTTCTGCTCTGCGAAGCCGTTAGCACTTGCCTGGAAGCAGAATTAAGTCAGTGAACAGTAATCGATTCCCTTTATTAGCAAATTGAGAGGCGCTTTAATATTTATCAGCTAATTGTTAAGAAATCACCTGGGAGGAAAATGCCTCCCTCTCCCCCCCGCGAAACTCCACTTCGAAGCCCACGCAAACTTTCCAGAATTAAATTTATTAGGGGTATAAATTTATAATGGCTTAACTCACCACACAGATGGAACATATATATTATTAATGTAATTTTCCAAAGCAGTGATGAGCGTGTCTGAGGGATTAATTTTTTTTTTTACGGCAAAGTAATACAGAGGCTGATGTATTGCGCAATGGCAAAATATATTAAATATGTCTATGAAACATCAGGGAAAAAAATAGGGTGCTGATTGGCCTGTGCTCTGTTTCACCCTGGGGCGGGGGCTGAGATGCTCAGTGCAAGGTGGGGACAAACCCAGCCGGGATTTTGCCTTGTCCAGAGGATAACGCCGGCGGCCGAAGACCGCGCCGCGCCCGGGATGTGCGGCGAGGCGTTTTCTCCTTCCGAAGGCAGCATCTCCTCCTAAGCCGTCTCCTTCCTCCAGCAGCTGCAGCCCAAAAGGCCCCGTTATGCCAAAGAGCTTATTTAAATGAGGCTAATTTAAGTCTTTGGCATGTCTAAATGATCCGGGCTGCTTTTGCCTCCTCCCTTTTCCGAGGTGGCGGAGGGGTGGGAGCCGGTGGAGCACGCATGAGCGGCTCCGGAAGAAAAATGAAGGAGGGGGGGGGGGGGGGCAAGC